ATATTTCTTTATGAATATCAATGAAAGTCCAAAGGCTGTCTCAGTATTAAGAGAATTTGCTAAGAGAAAATTTTAACTAAATGTTTTGGGTTGAAGGACTCAGGTCTTTGGATTGTGAATAAGAAATTCATATTAGCTGTTTTATTCACCCACAAGCAACATACACATATTAAGTAGGATGGATTGAATGGTTAAAAAAAACCCTTACATTAATGGTCTATTTAATTCTTTTTATTTATTTATTTATTGTTTGTTTGTTTGTTTGTTTGTTTTGGTACAGGGGATTGAACTCATGACCTCACACTTGCCAAGCAGCCGCTTATGCTGCTGAGCTAAATCCCCAGCCCTACTCTTTTTATTTTTAAACCAAAACATGTTTGCATTTTGAATCTTATTTTTAAACTATCATAAATGTAATCTGCAGAGACCGTTTATGGACAGTAGGTGGCAGGTTCTACCCACACAGCCTAAGAGCAACTTCACAAACATAAACATCCTAGTTATTAGGACACATGCTAAGCAATGCATCACTGGTGAGTTTTTCACTGTACCAATATCCTGTATACATTATACACACTTAGATGGTAGCCTACGACACACTTAGACTCCTATGCTGTGAATCTTCACGTCACTGTCCTGAATACTGCAGACAATCATAATGCAATGATGACTATTTTTATATATAATCATAGAAAAGGAACAGAAAGCTACATTGTATAAGATAAAAATGATACATGTGTCTAGGGCAGGTATCATAAATAAGCTTGATGGACTGAAAAATGCTCTGGATGATAGATAGGAGTGAGTGAACGTGAAGTCCTAGGGCATAATTGTGTACTGCTGTAGACTTTACACACACTGTACTCTTAGGCTGTGGTAAATTTTTCTCCAGTAATTAACCTTACTTTACAGTAACTGTTTTTTCTTGTCTTTTTGAGACAGTGTCTCATTATGCAGTTCAGGCTGGCCTTGAACTCACTCTGTAGTCCAGACTGGCCTCAAACTTGCAGAAATCCTCCTGCCTCAATCTCCCAAGTGCTGGGATTACAGGCATGTACCACCAAGCCCAGGTACACTAACTTTTTTTATTAGCATGTCTTTACAGTAGGTACTGATTCTGTTAATTGTAGGGAGTTAGTACATGTATATAATACATTTTACTTCATAAATTCTTTGATTTTTAAAAATTGTGTTACACATAATAACAGTTTAAAATGCAAGCACATTGTATAGTTATTTAAAATATTTTATGCCTTTATGTTCTTATTCAGTAGGTTATTTTGTTTTAATAAGATTGGACATTTAATTTTTCCCCACAGTAAGCAAGACGAACATTTTATCGTTATTACTTTTGGTATATCAAAATGAATTCTAAGAATGTGATAAAGTCTGACAGGGAAATAGTATGTAGAAAAAGACTGAATTAACAAACACATTATATTTTTAAGTTTTTTTCTCATAACTATACATTGACATCTAATAGCAGCACTGCATAATTTAAGTTTTTTTCTCCTTTTTCTAAGGGGAATATGGAAAGGCAGTATTATCTTAGGGACAAAATAAGATGATAGTAGGAAATAATAAAAAACTAACATGTATATTAATTTTTTATTTTAAAGAAAAACAAAAACGATACAAAATTTCAAAACAAGATTGTAGGAGAGTAACAATAGCTAATACATTGTGCATTATTATCTTTAAAGTAGTTACACCCATATTTAAAGATATAGGCATGAAAAATTGATCGAACAATATAGGCACAAACCTTTCTTTCCAGTGAACTAATAGCAATTAGTAGTATAATTATCTTAACTATTTTGTATTTTTAAAAAATTTTCCTTTCCTTTCCTTCTTTTTTCCTTTCCCCCATCCCAGTTTCTGCTTCCTTTTGAACAGTTTCTCCCCACTTCACAATATATGTTACACACTTGGGATCGATCCAGTACACGTTTGCCCCCTTTGTCCAAGAGGAGGTAGCTGAGTGTGTTTGTAATTATGGCTGTATCTTCTAATCTATTCCACTGATCTTTAGGTCTACTTTTATTTCAGTACCATGCTGACTTTATGATGGTAACCTTGTAGTGTAATTTCAAATCTGTGATTTGTGACGTCTCCTGCCTTGCCTTTGTTGCCCAGGATTGGGCCCTTGCCCAGGACTGAGTTTGCTATTCTAGGTTTCTTGTATTTCTACATGAATTTTAGGAATATCTGCTCTAGTTTTCTGATATATGTTAATGGTATTTTGATCAGGGTTGCATTAAATCCGAATAACAATTGTGGGAGTGTGGCCATTTTCACTATGTTGGTTCTTTCTATCCATGAGCAAGGAATACCTATTTTCTAAAATCCTCTTTGATCTCCTTTTTCAGAGTACTGTAATTTCAATACTGTACTTCCTTGGTTAGATTGATTCCTAAGTATTTCATTTTTTTTGGATACTATTGTGAAGAGAGTCTTCCCTAATTTTTTTCTGAGTGGGTTTGTTTGTGTATGGGAAGGCTATTGATTTTTGAGTGTTGACTTTGTATCCTGCTATGGTATTGAATTTGGTTATTAACTTTAGGAGCCTTTTGGTGGAATTTTTGGGGTCTGCTATGTAGAGTAAACTCTCATTTGCAATCATGACACTTTAATTTCTTCTTTTCTTATCCTTATTCCATTTATTTCTCTCTCTTGTCCAGTTGCTCTAGCTGTTTTCAGAGCTATACTGGAATAGGAGTGGGGATAATGGACATCCTTCTCTTGTTCCTGATTTTTTCTCTTTTCCTGAGTGAAAACTTTCAGTTTTTAACACCATTTAATATGATGTTAGCTGTTGGTTTGTCATAGATGACTTTTTATCAGATTGAGATAAAGACCATCTACTCTGATTTTCCATAGGGTTTTTGTCATGAATGACTGTAAAGGTTTTTATGCATCTGTTGAGATGATGGTATGATTTTTGGCATTGGCTCTGTTAATATGCTGTATTATGGTTATTGATTTTTGTATGTCCAACCATCCCTGCATTTCTGGGATGAATCCTACTTGGTCATGGTATAGAATCTTCATGATGATTTGTATTTCATTTGTGTATTTATTAAGGATTTTTGTATCTGTGTTCATTAGAGAGACTGGCCTGTATTTCTTCTTTTTTGGATGGGTCTTTCTCTGGTTTTGGCATGAGGATAATACTTGCTTCTAGGATGAGGGAGTATTGCTTCCCTTTCAATTCTATTAAAGTATCTGAGGAGTACTGTCATTAAATCATCTCTAAATTTCTTGTAAAATTTAGTTGTGATTCGATCAGTGCATGCACTTTTCTTTGTTGGTAAGTTTTTAATTACACTTACAATCTTATTAACTTGGCTTATTAATAATTTTTATAGATCTTGGTTCAGCTTTAACAATTTATGTATATCTAGGAATCTGTCCATTTCTTCTGTGTTTTCCATCCAATAACAGTAAAGATTGTCAAAGTAGGTATGGATGATCTTGTTAATTTTCACAAGATCTGTAGTGACTTCACCCTTTTCATTCCTCAGTGCATGAATGTTAGCCTTTATTTTTCTTTTATTGATAAGGTTGGCTAAGGGTTTATCAATTTTATTTATTCTTTCAAAGAACCAACTCTTCAATTCATTAATTCTTTATATTGTTTTCTTGGTCTCCACCACATTCATTTCTGCTCTAATTTTTATAATTTCCTTCTTTGTACATGCTTTTATTTTGTCTTCTTTTCCTAGAAGCTTGAAGTGTAACATTGAGTTGTTTATTTGAATTGTTTGTTGTTCTGTTTTCCTGATGTGAGAATTAACCATTTTAAATTTCCCTGTTAGGACTGCTTTCATTGTGTCCCATAAGTTCTGGTACATTATATCTGCATTCTTGTTTAGTTGTAGATATTGTTTAACTTCTTCCTTTATTTAATCCGTTACCCAGATTAAATAATCTGGTTACTTCATATCTGTTATAGCCCTCCTCAGTTTCTGTTAGTCTCTCTCCTGTTGGTAAAGCAGATCCCTTAACAGCTTCTGCCAGTTTGTTCTTGTTCTTCAAGGTGGTGGCTATGGTACAATGAGACAGGCCTGAGTGGTGACTAAATTTCTGCCTTCATCCTTTTTAATCACCTTCAATTTTATTTCCTTTGCATGGAGTAAAGGAATATTGAAATGAATTACAAATGGGGACAAATTGTCTTTCCACAGAGTGTATGAGAAGACATTTGAACCTCCATAAAATAAAACAAAATGCTTTTCTATCTTGCATTTTAAATACAGTTCCCTTAAATCAGATCTTGGTAAAGTGGAAAGGTATAGACCAGTGGTGGTGAACCTATGGGACATGTGCCATTGTGAGCTGTTTGTATCATTGAAATCCCTGAAAGGTTCGCCATCCCTGATACAGATAATGCATAGTCTCCCAGTGAGGTAAAATATATATTTTATACATATATCTTCTCACATTTATTCTTCACTCAAAAACTTCTTTTAGGTCTTGTTTTCTTTGCTTTTTCAAATAAATATCAGAAGAAGCTTGCATATCTTTACGAAAAAGTCCTGCTTGTCTTTGGTATTGCATTAAATCTATAGTAGTTCAATTTAGAAAGTGTTTATTTCTTTGTTTTTTCAATTAGAGAACACAAAATATTACATTATTTAGGACATTGTTGAGTTCTTTTGCCAGTATTTTGTAGTTTTCAGCATACATATCTTGTATCTGTTTTTTTAAAAATTAATGTCTAGTGATGCTACAAATTGCTTTTATTTAGGTATTTTAAAAAATCATTTATTTATTTTGGTACCAGGAATCGAACTCATGACCTTGTGCTAGTCAGGCAGGTGCCTATGCCATTGAGCTATATCCCCAGCTTGTATATTTTTTGTTAGATTTAGAATAAAGTAGTTAATCATTTGAAGTATTGTAATTTGTATTTCTGTACTTAAAAACGAGAATTACTGACAACTCCAAACATTAGTGTATATATGGAACAACTGGAATTTGTATGTTTTTAATGGCAGGCATTGAAAAATGGCACAGCCACTGGAAAACTGATAGATTCTTACCAAGTTAAGCATAACATAAGACAAAGATATTTCACTCCTGGTAAGTGCTTTAAGAAATGAAAATGCATATCCACACAAAAATCTATACATAAATATTTACCACACCTCTTTTCTTTAATTGTCCATGACTGGAAGTAACACAAATATCCTTCTACAGGTGAATTAGACAAACTGAATGTGATGCATTCATACTATGGAACACTACTCAGCAGTAAAAGAGACACGTTCTTGGTACATACATACAACTTGGGTGAGTCTCACGGCATGGTGGGGATAAGAAGTCCATCTCAGAACTGTGTTGTTCCGTTTATGACACTCTTGAAAAGAATAGACTAGTAACTGTTAGGAATTATGGCAGGGGAGGAGTTGATTATAAAGGGATATTTTTGAGGGGTTGTTTTGTATCCCAAGTATAACAATGGATACATGGAGCTAAACATATGTTAAGATTCCCAGAATAGTACACAAACAGAAAAAGTGAATTTTCCTGAAAATAAAAAATCTAAATGATATAATAGTAATGTTTAATAATAATGTTCCTTCCCTTCAAAAAACTAGATGAAATGGAGGAGGTTGGAGCCAAATTATTCTTTCTCATCAGAATTATCAACTATTTGTCAGTGCTTTGTTTTATCCAGCCAAAAGAATCACTGAATGGGTCTCAGAGAATTCTCCCATAGACACATAGTTCAAAAAGATAGCCTTATATCTTAAAAAATAAATGGCAATCATTGAGCTATTATTTGGTATTCTTCTATATATCATATACAATTGAGACCACGAACTAAGGCTGCCACATGAATTAAAAAGCCATCATTGCAATTCATCAAAAAGTTAATTAACTCATTTAATAATGAACAGTTTAATTAATGAACACATGATAAGTATTCCATATAATCAGTGTTCCATCAACTTCAATCTGTAACTAAGTTTCACTGACATTAATTAAATTTTGAAAGACCTTCTCTTTGGAAAGTTCCATTTGTCTATATTGTATCAAAATAAGAAATGAACTCCAAATGAAACAATTTGGAACTGAATCTCCCTATATTGTAGTATTTACTATATTTCTCTATAATTACTGAAGCACTGATTTTGTTTTATTTATTGTGTTTGTCAAGATGTTTTCTGTTGATCGCATGAACCTAAAAATACATTTCTCTTTGCCTTACATTATTCAGAATGAACTAAATTTAGTGCTGGAAATAGGAGTCAGATTCAGAAGGACTTTCTGTCACACAATAGTGGCATGACTCCTTAGTCTGTTTTCCAGTATTACATTTTGCAAATGAAATATTGAATGTGATTCCCTACGTGTATTTCCTCTCTGAGTACAGGAATATACAAGGTGAATTACAGTAAATATAATACCAGCTACTATTGGTGTAGTAGGCTACTTACTTATGTCATCTCACTGAATTTTCACAGTGGAATTATGAAATAAATATGAATAGAAACATTAACTACCAGGAACTTGAAATTCTTCAGTTAAACTCAGCTCTCACACCCTTGACCCTCCAAGCAAGTTCTCTTGCCAACAGACAGCTACCTTTGCGTGCTGGCTGCTTACCTCATTGACGGATCAGCTGTTGAGTCTCAGTCCCCTAGCTTTACCCTTAGTGGCAGGAACTGTCATTATCCTGGGACTTTTTGATGGTCACATAAATGATTTCTCTAAAATCTTACTGTTACTTGGATTCAACACAGATCATTTTATTTTTGCTCCGGTTCAGTTGCTCATTTATTGGACCAGACTTGGTGATCTGAGACTTTGATCCGTTCCTTTGATCTGCTTGATCTCTCTCTCTCTTCCCTTTTGTGCTTTGTGTCAGCTCCGTCTCTCCCCCTCTTCTGCCTTGCTGCCTCTCTTTTTCCCTGTCTTGTCCAGCTTGAAACTCACATTCCCTTGAAATTCCTAATACCAACCTCACCTTTCGTATCTTGAAGTCTTTCTTGATGTGTCTGTTTCTTCCTTGGACTCAAGGCCATTAATCCCGTCCAGTTCTGACCCATTGCTTTCTTTCCATTCTTCATTGTTACTTTCCTACTGTCCAGGGATTCTCCCTTTATCTTTCCATACCACTAAGCACTTTCAGAAGAGTCAGGAGTGATCAGCTTCCAAATCTATCATTGAGGACAGTTTTCAGTCAGCAGTGTTTTATTCTGTGTCCTGTCCTTTGCTCGGTTTACCCCAAGTTCTACAACTCTTGGTCTGTAAAAGAAAGCAAAGGAACCCATTATTGTGTGTATGCCATTTTTTCCTGGCTTACAATTAGTTTGTTTACTGTGCTTATGGTATTAATATGTATTTAGTTTAATATATTAATCATGTCTATTATAAATTCAAGATTTTTAAAAAGCCTTTGCTACTACAAAATTATATTTATGCATACAATGAACCTACAGACATATCTATGTATAATCTTACATGTTTTCTACATATAATTTTATTACAAGTAATAATATATGATTCATCTTAAAATTACTTTTTGTAATGTTTATTCTTTCAAAATAGCTAACCCAATCTTTTGGAATTTAATTCCATCTTTCCATTTCTATCATTTACTCCACGTCTATCATTTACTCATATTTATATATTTTCAATCATATTTTCAAATTTATACTTTTGTTCTCATTAGTCTATTTATAAACCTGTACAAAACTGATTTAATTCCTGTAGAGTAACAAAAGTTATCATGTAGTAGACAAACCCGTTTTATGGCACTATGCTTTTGATAGATAAATAATGGCTTTAGAAAAAAATCTTTCTGTCTTTCTCTGGGTTTTTGAAACAGGGACTTACTATGTACTTCCAGGCTGGTCTGAGCTCATTATGTAGCCCAGGATAACCTTGAACTCATGATGATCCTCCTGCCTCAGCCTCCCAAGTACTGGGATTACAGGTGTATGTCACCATGCCCAGTTTATATCTCTTTTTCTTGATCTATAAAAATGTTTTATATTTCTTTGACTTCCCATGAAGATGCAATATATCATAAGAAACTTCTTCCTTCTTGTACCTCAGTTCCTATTTTTCAAAATTTGATGGATAAATTCATTTTTATCTCATAGAAGAAGAATATGTTACATAGCGTGTTAACTATTATTATTAAGATATGTAAGTTAGTATTCCTGACCTTCCCTGTATTGCTTTTTTCACTTTTTCATCTGCACTTTTCCCTACTTTGGCAGACACAAAACTCTTGGTAGGGTTTATAGTCTCTTTTGTAACAGTAATTACATAAATTGCATATTTTGTCCATTGTTTGAATCCGAAATTAAAAATAAAAATACATCATACTCCATTATTGTGATTGTATTAGCACTGTTAGCACTGTTCTTTAGCCTATGATTATAATGTTTTTATTTCTTTTTTTTCTTTTTTTCTTTCTTCCTTCCTTCCTTCCTTCCTTCATCCTCTATGCCTTCATCAAGTCACTGAATCATCCATCTTCTGCATACACACTTCATCCATGGTAAGGGATTATTGAACACGTGTGTCCAGAACCATATGACTTACTGCTTCTGGTCCAGATACTTTCTGGGCTGGAAACCAAGCTGTCATCTCTGCTTTCTACACTGTTCCTGGATTGCTGTTCGTGTTCTTGGATCTCAAAACTGTACCTTTTTTGGATTTTACTGTTTGTGCTGAAGAGCATCTTTAATTAGTTTAGGGGGAGCATATGAAATAAATCTTTGCAATTTTCACATGTCTGAAAGTGGCTTTATTCTGTCCTCTCTATTGAAATCTGTATTGGGTGGTAGCCAAGTAATAATCTACATTGATAGGCTTATGATTATTTCTTTCTCAGAAAGTTGAAGGTGTGAAATCTAGGGATTCTATCAAGAAATCGTACCTTTTTTTTTTTTTAGGAATATTTTTCCCCTTCTAGAATCTTCTAGGTTATTCTCATTCCCAAGATGTTTTGAAAATTTCTTGAGAATTTCCACTTGGATCTTTCCTTTGTCAGTGGTCATGGATAAGAAATCACCATCAAAAATATTGAACTGAATTATGCCATCAAGAAGAAGAAATCTTGGGATGCTAAAAGCCTGTGTATGGTACAGCATTCAATACTAGGTTATGCTATGTGTATCATTTCTCTAATTGTTTCATATGCTTAATGTTCTGATTTTCATCAAGAACAAAAATTCTTTTTTTAAAAAAATTTTATTTAAAGAGAAAAAGAAAAAAAAACAGAAAAAGGGTACAAGTAATACAGAATTTCAAAAAAAATAAACAGGAAGAAATCACTAGTTAATAGATTACATATTGTCATCTTAGAAATAGTTGTTCAAGTTACAAAATTAAAGCATATAAAGTGGACATTCAAACAGTGAGACTGCAAACAGTTGTGTTCAATGATCCAACAAAAACTCAGTAATATGGTTATCTATCTTATATGCTTAAATATACAGGCAGTTATATCCTTTATAACACTTTCTTTTCCTCTCTTTTTTACAATAACAATTACACATTTTGGGTTTTATTACTCCCACAGTTCTTATTACTTTTTTTTGAAGAGAATAAAACCAAATGTGACAAAACAAAACCGAGTCAGTCAAATCAAAAGGATAGACATAGTACATGATATAAAAACAGAATGCAAGGTGATCAACAATGGTTACCATAATGCCTCTTGCTATCTTAAAAAGAATTGCCAATATCATCAGTTATAATAAAATTGAACAAAACAGTACAGAACAAAACCAATAAAACCGAAGCATTGGAGACATTACAGGACTTCAAAAGAAGATAATAGTCAAACAAGAATGGGCATCATAGTGAATCTTAATTGCTTTCAAAGTAGTTGCCCATACCCTCAAACTTGATTACTATCAAGCAAAACAGAATATAGTAAAATCAGTCAAAACAAGATGGTGAGAGCAATACAGGGGCTTCAAGTTAATAGGAAATCAAAATGGTTACTATAATATATCCTATTTTTAAATTTATTTTACCTTAATTAAAAAAACAAAAATAAATAAATAAAGAAGATTGAGATAAAAGAGGACATAACACAACAGCACAGGTCAGAACAGAACAATTTAAGCAACATAGTGTTTCACCACAAGATAATCTGACATAATGGTAGTTACCATAGTGTCTCTTTCCTTAAAATATTTGAGTATAACTTCATATACTATAGTATCAAACATATCAAGACAATCTAAAACCATTCAAAACAATGAAAGTATTACAGGGTATTTAGAACCAACTAACAGAAAATGAACAATGGTTTTATATTATCTCCTTGTCTATAAAAGTTTTTTTATACTATCACATATAATAAAATCCAATAAGATACAACATGATAAGACTGATGGAGACAGAAGAACAAAAGCTTGATGGAACTTCAAAACAAGATGATATTAAATCAGCACTAGCTATTATGACGTCTTGTTTTCTTCAAAATAGCTGTTCATACCATCACAGACAATAAAATCAAACAACCCAGAATAAAATCATTCCAATTAATGACTGAAAACATTATAAGGCTTCAAAGCAATTTAATGGGGAATCATGATTACCACATACTTTTATGTATTGTTATCATTTCTTACACTAGGGAAACTATTCAGTATTTATACATGTGAATTTGATTTATTTCATTTATGGTTTCAAGCTGTGCCCAATTATTTATAAATATCTCAATGTGATCATTCTTTAGAGCTGAGTAGATTCCAAGATCTGGCTTTCAGAAATTGTGCTGCTATAAACATAGGTGCACATATATCACTGTGGTATGATGCTTTCGGTTCTTCTGGGAATATGCCTAGAAGTGGAATAGCTGGAACAAACGGGACTTCTAATCCCAGTTTTTTGAGACATCTCCAGACTGACCTCCACAAAGGTTGTACCAGTCTACACTCCCACCAACAGTGCAGGAGGATTCCTTCATCCCCACAGCCTCTCCAGCACTTGTTGTTGTTGATTTTCTTGATCCTGGCCATTCTTTCAGGAGTGAGATGGTATCTCAGTGTGGTTTTAATTTGCATTTCTCTAATGACTAATGATGATGAACATTTTTTCATGTATTTTTTTGCCATTTGTATTTCTTCATCTGAGAAATGTGTACTCATCTCAGATGCCCATTTTTGGATTGGATCTTTGAATTTTGGGGGTCTGATTTTTTAAAATTCTTTATATGTTTTAGACAGAAGTCCTTTGTCTGAGGGACAGTTCACTAAGATTTTTTTCCCAGTTTGTGGGTTTTCTTTTCATTATGCCGGAGATTTCTTTTGACATGCAGAAACTTTTAATAAGATGTGATCCCAGTTATTGATTCTAGGAAGTATATCTCGTGTGGTTTGAGTCCTGTTCACGAATCCTCTACCTACCCCTATGTCTTTAAGGTTTTTACCCAATTTGTCTTATTGGGCAGAACAGAAGTTCTTTTAGGCCATGAAAGCTTTTGGCTTTCTGGTGCAGGGTATAAACCCTCTTTCAAGAATAATGTTTTTCAGTTTTTAAAACAAAATATGTAGAGCTATAAATGAAACAGGTGAACTAAAATGTCATTACCAATATGTCAAAAAATAGAACTATAGTATTTTGCTTCATTGTGAACACTTTAAATAAAAAAATCAAGTGAGAGTTTTTATAGCTACTATAATTTCATAGTATATTATTGGTGAGTATAAATGATGACATTGAGATATTTAGGACAACTGAATATGCTATGAAAATCCTCACTTTTTATTAGTTAAAAAAAAATCAACAGTGCTGCCCAAACTGTAGCTTGCAGATTAGGGGAAAAGAAAATATAGTTTCTCCCTTTAAGGTTCACAGACCTCTTGGACTCCACCCAGGGATTGCCATCTACAAATCCCTTAGGGTAGAAGCTCTTCAAGGTGTTCAGACTCCATGTTGCAAAGATGGGGGAAACAGAGTTCCCCACTCTTCGTGCTCGGTCCTGTATGATTTTGACACACCCTCAGTGAGAGGCTGTGTCTGTTTCTCCACTCCCTTGAAATGTATGACTTCTCTGCAAATGTATTGAGGCCAAAACACCTTTTAAGGAACTTACAATGAACTGTCAATACTGTTCAGTTATTACTATAGGAGTAGGAAGTGACTTTATTGCACAAGAATAAGGAGAATTGTGGTAACTTTTGGGGGTTTCAGCATAAAACTTTTGACAGGTGGGGCTAAGCAAAGACAAAATTCTTTAACAAACACTTGATAAATTTACCAGCATATTAGATTGTTAGCCTGGATAACTTAACCCCTAAATGTCGCTCATTAAAAATAAGAAAGTATTATATTTTGTTTTCACATTCTATTAAACCTACATAAGAGAAGCCAAGCTTGAAGTTATGTTTGTGTAATTATGGCTGTTCAAATTTATTATATATTTATTTCCATAGCCTCAGTTTCCCTGCCAGTGAAGATTAGGAGATGGGAGGCAAAAATGAATTTTTGCTTCATGAATTTTCACGTCTTCCTTGTGCAGGGGCCGTCATGACCTTCTCTGTATTGTTCCAGTTGTAGTATATGTGCTGCCATAGTGAGCACGTAGCAGCTCAGCTTTCTGTGCATGCAGAGCTGCTTCTCAAGTCCTCTAGTTATCTGTGACTTTGAAATGGCCAAATAAGAATCTCATTGTTGTAAATAAAGTATTAAAAATATCATTTTCAGTAAGAGATGTCGCACTTGAGACTATCCAAATTATTTCATCTGGGTGGGACTGATGGTTTTAGCAGCCATTTTCTTTCAGGGCATTAACATTCCATCAATAAGAAATACTTTGCATAAGAAATAAAATAAGGATAAGATGTGATCATCTAACTGTGAGAATCTCCCGAAGAACTTCTTTTCACAGGGAGGCACGGTGGGTTAGTGGTTTAAAAACACAGGTCTTGGAAGAAGAAAACGTGGTTTCAGATCCTGTGCCTGTTTTCTTCCCACTAGTGACTGGAGGTGAATTAATTAGTCCTCGTCTTCACGTATGTAAAACGCAAATGATGTCACTATTAGTACTTGCTTCACAGGACTAGCACGTACAAAATGCTATCTAATATCTGTTAAATGAACAAAATATGCCAGATTTATCTGTGCACCACAGGAATTTTTCATTAATTGGCTTAATGACTTGTGTTTGTTCCAAGTTCATAAATTCTTATCCATGTGGGTGTTTTTCACATTTTAATAGAGCAAAACTTAGAAATTATATTTCTGCAAAATTCATAAGTTATGAAAATAATAACTTCCTGACACTATATGTCTTTGCTTTAGAACATCATTGCACTAAAAGCATTATGTGCTCATAGCTCATCTCCTTCTGTCTCTGCCAGTCTTTCAGAGGACCAGTGGAAGTGATTTTATGCAGGGTAAATGCCCTGAAGTGAATGAGCCATCAGGAGGACAGGAAGAGAATCTGCGTAAGTGGAAGAAATGTGTTGAACAAAGTGACTGTGAGGAAAGGGCCTTCATTGTCATTCTGAAAACCTGCTTTCCACTCTGACTTCTGGGGCATGGCTGGATCTTGCTTGAAATCTCCAGCGACTGCAGTGTACCTGTTCAGCAGCAGCCCATGTAATGTTGGTGACATCGCTGTGTCAGTGTCTTCGAGATCAATACAGCCAGGAGTGGAAGCTGACTTCTATAACTATAAAAACAAGTTGAGAGATAGCAAGAGGCTGTCAGGAAGATAGCTATTACCAACATTATTATTGTTGTTGTTATTGTTATTTTGTCTTTTTTAAGACAGGGTTTCGCTATGCAGTTCAGGCAGACCTTGAACTCACTTTATAGCTCAAGCTGCCCTTGAACTCACAGCAATCCTCCTTCAGCCTCCCAAGGGCTGTGATTACAATGTGTGCCACCACATCTAGCTGTTTTCAGCGTTATTATATTTGAAATTATTCCTGTTAACAAGAAAACAAGTGTTTGTACAAATTCTGTCTGCAATATCCACCATTACATTAAATTGGTAAAAATTTAAACTGGCTCTACTGCAGACTCTGTCTTCATATATTAATGTTTTATTTTTTGAGCATCGTTTTACAGTGGACCTTATGCTGAAATCTAGTGTTTTTGTTTTTTGAGAACATGGAGAATGTTACATTCTTACAGAAACAAATCCTCAAAGGAACAGTTTTAACAAGATCTCCAGAGTGCTTCCATTCTCCACAGCATGGACCTTCCGTCATTTTAATGACAATTGTCACTTCGAAATGCGGAATAAGATTCAAAAGCAAACATACACTTTTAAGAGTATACAGAGAGTTAATGAAAAACAACATCTAATCTTTTAACAATAAATCTCTAAACAATAGGAGGATAAATTCCTGCCTTTCCTCATTTAATGCTGTACTTGACACATAATTATAAAATGTTTACTATGGGTCAGGTACTATTCCTAACACTTTACATATAATAACCCATTTATTTCTCATAACAGAATTCAGAAGTAGGTATTATTATTATCATGCATATTTTACAGATAAAGAAACTTGGGAATAGAGAAGTTAAATATCTTGTTAAGCCTAGGAGGTTGCTGAACTGGATTTTGAAGATTTCATACAATTTGACTCTAGTATGTTATTTTCTTCTATTTTTCATGTATGAGTGCCTTAGATGGCTTTCTGTTGCTATAACAAAGTACCTGAGATAGAGTATCTATAAAGAAGAGAATTAAAGGGCTTACAATTCTGGAAGCCAAAGAGTATTGGGTCATTATCTGCTCAACTTCTGGTAAGGGCCTCCTGGTGGAGGGTAGCAGGTACCTGTGTGTGCGAGCGCGTGTAGGGGAGAGGTAGAGGAGAGGAGGAGAAAGAGAAGGACGAGGAGAGAAAGGAAGAGAGACAAAAGGTATTAGGCTTACTTTATAATAACTCACTATCATGGTAATCAGTCCAGTCCCACAAGAGTGAGAGTTTATTCCCAAGAGAAAAACATTAATTCCTGGGGAACCAAGAAAACAGGTCTCAACATGACTATCCATGGGGGAAAATCACATTCAAATCATAGCAATGAAAATGGCTAATGATGGAAGCAAAGAGCTAATGATGTTGAGTACAGTCCTCCGTCAGTCACTTCACTAAGAACAGTTACTTTTAACACGGAAGTACTCAGCAAAAATTTTCCTTCAAATTTTAAAATTTAATTAAATTATAGATGGATCAGATTATATATATACATATATATATACACACACACATATATAATATATGTATCTGCTAAAGAGGCAGGCAGAGCAAAAATACATTTTTAAAGACAGAGGGATATTTGGGCAAGGTAGCAAGGTGTAATCCCAGCACTTGGGAGGTCAAAGCAGAAAGGTTGCCATGAGTTTGAGGCCAGCCTATACTACATATGGAGTTCAAGACCAGCCTGGCCTAGACTACATAGTGAGATCCTGTTTCAGAAAACTAAGCAAACAAAAATAAAAACACACCAACGGACTGAAGTATGCATGTGCTAGTTTTATCCCCCCTTCATTTCATTTATTTTAAGTATGATTTGCTTTACCCAGCTTTTATAAGACAAACAGAAATGGGAATAAATGACAGCGACACTTTGGAAAATAGGACAACAAAAGTTCACACATTGAAGTTTGACTTTACATTTTCTGTGATGTGCTAAAGTTATTACTTGCCATAGTTTTTTTAGGGAAGTTATTTTTTAAGATATTTGATTATGTTGTAAGTTTATTTTCCTATACTTGGCTCAGAAAGTATAGTAAGGTATTTCTATTCACTGAATAATAAAGTTAGTTGTTTGAGAAACCAGTACTTGTGGGTGGTTGATCTCCTTTTTCCTCCTCCGCTCACTTTCTTCTTCTCCTTCTCCTTTTCACAATACAGGGACTGAATCCAGGGTCTCTGTGCTAAGTTACATCTGCAGCCTGTTTTTAGATTTTTTTTCCTTTGGAGATAGGCTCTTACTAAATTGCTAACTTGCCCAGTCTGGGCTTGAACTTGTGATTCTCTTGCCTCAGCCTCCCAGATGCTGGGATTACGGGTGTGTGCCAACATGCCTGATACTCTTGAAAAGTCATTGCTCTTTATTCTCAAACCATTTTACCAGATCTTGATTATTTTCTTCAGATAAGACTTACTAAAACTTCATTTTAGGATTTGAACTCTTTCTAACTTCTGATTCTAAATAAACAAAACTCCTGACATCCATATAATTAAGGTAGTTCTGTACCTTATGTTATATCATGTCACATTATGTTATATCATGTCACATTATATTATGTCATGTCACAGAATCTTGATGAAGAGGACAAGCCCACAATCTTCACTTACCCCAGGGTTTATTCATAGTTCACAGCAGGATTTCTCAAGGCAGGACTTGGGGCCATCTGCAGCAAAGTCACCTGCGATACCTGTTAGCAAGATGGATCCCTGCACCCACCATAGGCTCACTGATTGAAAAGCTCTGGGATCAGGGAATTGTAAGGGCATCCCAGGAGATGCATATCCTGTGTACTCAAATCTGAGAAGTGCTGGCTTAGTTATATAACTTCTGTCCCTGCCAAAATAGCTGTTGGGAGGGTGTTAGACTAAAGTTATATAAATTCTAGTCTTTGTAACCAAAATACTTAAAGTAGGGTTTCCCTATAGCTTCATTAATTATTTTCTTTAGTGGCAACTGGAGACTGAACTTCGGGCCTTAAACATGCTAGGTAAGTGTTCTACCACTGAGCTCTATCTCAGACCTTTTTAAAAATTTTATTTTGAGCCCAGGCTGGTCTTGAACTCATGCTTCTCCTGCCTCAGCTTCCCAAGTAGCTGGGATTATAGGTGTGCAGCATCACTTGTGGCTAAGAAACCTCTAGTTTTAAGCAGACCAATACTGGTATGGTTAACACCAACAGTAATAGTAGTTAGGTCAGTCAACAGGTGATCACACAGTGGAGAGTTGACTCTGCCAAATTTGTGTTCTTGAACAAAAGCAAGAAATTAGTTTTAGGAATATGGTGCAAAATGAACTGAAAAAGCAGTGTGGGCAGCACCATGTGGCTTATAACCAGAAATGTGGGTCTGGGGTGTGGCTCATTAGTGGAGTGCTTGCCTACCATGTGCAAGACCGTAGTTTGTGGTCTTCCATATCACTAAGGAAAAAACTTAATTTGCTCCCCTAAAACCAGAAATTCAGTGTTGAGGGGAAAACTTGGTAGTAATTGTAGAGAAGAAGGACCAAGTCCCTGAAGCACTCGGAGAGGAAAATGTATAAACTTCATTTAAGGAAATTACTTTGTTGTGTCACCCACAAAAGCAATGGCTCTAAGTCATTCAGGGCTGAACTCCCTAGGCCAAGTAATAACATTTTTCTTAAGTTAGGATTTTCTTTGAAAAATATGATTAAAATTATGAATACTACCAAAGGCAGGTGGTAAATAAAGTTTGTGAGATTCAGTTACACTATTTTCACAGCCTTACGTCTGTTTTCCCCAATTCACTAAATAATTTTGCTATTTTTCTTAACTTTGGCAGATGAAATTATATATCCTTTGCTAGAAAAAAAGTTTTAGGATTTCCTGTTTAGAGGAAAAAAAGATCTTTTGTGCCTTACTTCCTTTCTTCCCAAAGTTTTCCTGAAAAAAATAGAAAAGATGTTAAAAGTGAGAATGAAATCCTAACAGTGCCAGAAAGAAGACTATCAGCATGTCCAATATTTTGAGAAATTCTTCAATATATAGGCAGATAAGATTGAACTCACAAAGAAGACAAGAAAGGCCAGTAGACAGACAACTCTAGTTCTTCCTAGGACACTATGGAAACTTGGACCTCTGTGTGTCACACCCAGCACCAGGCAGCTATGGACCCTCTATCAGCGTAAGTAATTAAAGAAAGTATCCCTCTCAGCTGGTCAGAGCCCTGCTCGCTGCACACACACAGTGGTGTCTCCCAGGTAAAACCTGGACCAGCATGCTCTGTGGAAAGGGGTACTCTTGGGAAGATTCCTCCTATGGCTCCTGTGCCACAAAGCAGAGTAGACACTGAGGGACTAATATTACAGACACGGAAGGAGAATTTTAAAAAGCTAAGGTCATTCTGCCCCAGGAGTTATTACATAAAAGGACTCACAGCAGCCACAAAGTAAATTCCTTTTGTTTGCCTGGGTGTGTAGATGACACACAACTTCCTCTTTGCCTGTTCGTTGACCTCTGCTGCTGGTTCTCACCTTCACACGGAACAGCATAGCAGCCCTTCCTAGACACATAAGAGCATCCACTTCTGCGATGGCTTTGCATTTTATTGGTTGACTCCTTTCATCTGTCAACTCAGTAAAAACACAAAATACAAATAATGGAAGGGGCTTAGAAATAATGTAAAGCAGATACCGGAGGGTGATAATGTGGAAAAGAACACTGAGTTTTATTTTTTATGGCTTTGGCATGGGGGCTGGTATAGAGGACCACCAAGAGACCCCCACCCCCCACCCCCCGTCCCAGAGGTGATTGTGCTTACTGGTGAGCAGCACAGGCTGAATAAAGGTGACTTCCCTAAACTGGCTCATTAGTAAGTCTGGCCGGGCTGTGTTCCTATCTTCATGTAAGCAGGTGGCCCACAGCAGATCAGCCTTATACTCCACAGCATGGTGGAGCTCAGATAGCCGAGCTTGATACCATGGGCTACGACATGAGATAACCTCTCCACTGAGGCGTGCATGACTCCGGAGGAAAATTCTTTCCCAGAATTGGCTACAAAGCAAGTTAGTCGTTAACCATAACCTAAATCTGGCAGTTCCGTCCCTTGGGCAAGAATGCTTTGTTCTCTCTGTTACAAGCCTTGCCTGCCTAGCCTTTTGTCTAGCAAGTCTTACTGACATTTTTCCTCATCCGAATGTGACGAAGATGATTCTGGCTGTCTTTTGATCTCCAAATAGCTGTCATGTCATATCCCTGCTGCACCCTATTTTGTTTCTTGTCTTTCTTCCCGTTGTGTGCCGTAACACCCCCTGGCAGGAGATTGGAGTCCACTGCAGGGGTCTCCGATGGGCCTTCTCATGTATTTCCCATGCAGAGATTATGTGTAGATGGCTAAAACTCAGATTTAAAGAAAAAGCATAGTCTTCCTGGCTTGAAGTATCAGGAAACAGATTAGGACCCCCACAGCCTCTGAAAACTGAGAAGAAAATCCCACAAAATCGAAAGCCAAAGAGAAGGAATCTCAAACTGTATGTAAACTCTGCCCTCACTCTATGGCTTGACCCCTACCTTTCAAACTAACTATTCACAGGGAAGACGCCAGGCAGCCTAATGAAATCTCAAAGACCTGGACAAATATTTATGTTATTGCTTATTGCAAGGCAGTAGTTTTCAGTTTTTCAGACAGTTTAACTGACTGCTGAAAACAGAAAACCTTTCTAGAGATTTGTATAATCCAGAGTCTGTACAATATAACATTCACAATGTCTAAGACAGAAGCCAAAATCACTCTACACACAAGGTGTCAGGAAAACAATCCATACTAAACAGAAAAGTCAATCATCAAAGACTGGTCCTGAAATGACTAAAATGTTGCAATTAGCACATAAGAATTTAAGAAAACACTTCTTGGAGAAATAGACAGACATGACTAACAAGAAAACGAATATAGCCATCTCAATTAATTCTCGAAACTCTTCATCTGTGGATTATGATTCAATAGAATTGAGAAAAACCTGCAGCATGAAAGAGAAATTCAAAAGTTAAATAAACTCAAGAAAATTAGGAAAAAAATAATTTAAGGGGCAGAGGACAACTTGAAAAAAAATTTCATCACACTTGGAAATGTCCAAGAGGAGAGTGCCTTAATGAAACAAGATAGCACTACAAAAAAAAAAAGGTATCATTAGTGATTAGGAAGCCCAGAGTCATGGTGCATCCCTGTAATTTTAGTGCTTGGGAAGCTGAGGCAGGAGGATTGTCGAATTCAAGGCCACCCTGAACTACATAGTGAGTTCAAGGCCAGATCAAACTATACAACAAGGTCTGTGTGGAAAAAAAAATCACTGGCTAAAAAAGAATTCTTAGAAATAAAAAAAGAATAATGGATTTTCTGAAAGCCAACTTGATGTTCTAGAAAATAAAAATCCTATAAAGTTGAGGAATAAGGTAAAAAGATAGACAATGTATGAGAAAAGTTGAGGCATACTGGATAGATCCAGGAAATTTAAGTTCTAGATCATGATTTCCCTGAGTGACAGAAAGGCAACTGCTGTTAGGTTGAAAAGAGTCAGGTCAGCTATACAGAATTAGAAAGCAAATACAAAACCAAGTACTCTTGTCTGAATACATGCTTATCAGCATTTCAGAGCTCCAGTGATAAAGAGAATATCTGTAAAAGATTCAGGAAAAGCAAAATCATATTTTGTACATTGATATAACACTTTTAAAGTTTTAAGGGAGAATGATTTTCAGGCTAAATTTATCCTTGCTATAGACTGGTAATATAGGGAAATATAGACATAGAGAGTTTATCGACAATACATTTTCATATAATTACTTTAAGAAAATTAAAGCACAAGTAAGAAGACACAATGTATTACAGAAGTGCGGAAGATGGAAAATTTCAGAATATAATGTCATAGTTCATAAAATTATTGTTGTTCAGTAGAAGAACTAAAACCAGGCATTGCTGACAGGATTGTCTCTGGAATTGAAAGTGGGTAGGAAAGACATTTACTTTGTAGTTTATACTCTTCTGAATTATCTGCACTTATTTTTTTTAATTCTACATTACTTGAAATCCAAAATTTGAACTTTTAAAAAGCATACTCTCAAAACCCCAGCAACCTTTATTTTCTAAATCTGTTACCAATTCCTTCTTAAAAACATTTAATAATAAGATGAATTAGTGCATTTAGTTTAGGATAATTTGTTTAAAAAGATCTGGTTGAGGGACTGGGGATTTAGCTCAGTGGCATAAGCGCCTGCCTTGCAAGCAGGCAGTCATGAGTTCGATCCCTGGTACTGATAAAAAGACCAAAAAAAAAAAAAATAAATAAAAAGATCTGGTTGCTTATGTTCAGGCAAGTTTAAAATAAAACATTGACAAAAAAACTTTTCATCATTAGCCACACACACAAAATAACAAGGATGTGTAACAAAGATGGTTTTTATTTCTTCACAATAGCATGAAAGTGGATTTTATAAATAACAAAGAATACATTCTCCTACTTTAAAAAAGTCATCTTTTGAGAGCATGCCATCTGATACACTAATCACCGGCTCATGTGGTTATTGAAACTTAAAATGTAGCTACTGAAAAAGACAGGTACTTCAAGGGTAGAATACACAACAAGTTTTAAATAGTGAGTATGAAAAACCCATCAAATGTTTCATTAACACTGAAAAAATATTAATGACATCGATATAACATTTTAGATACTTTTGGCTAAATACAATTTCAGTGCTAGAATTCATTTAATCTTTTTAATCTTTTAAAATATGGCTACTAGCCCAATAAGAAACATCTATCTGGCTTTTATTTGCAGCCTGCATTTCATTTCTATCAAACAGACCTGATCTAAACTATTAGAATGTTGCATCTATTGGACAAATAGATTGAACAAAATAGTTTCTGATAAGAGTTCCTTTTTGTTTTGTTTTTCTGAGACAGGGTCTTGCTATGTAGTTGAGACTAGCCTTGAATTCATGGTGATGCTTGTGGCTTGGCCTCCCGAGTGCTGGGATTACGTGTGTGCCATCACACCTGGCTTCTAGTAAGAGTTTTTGAAAGAACACTGTCAGCATATTAGCTTTTACTTACCAAGAAACTTCCCTGGCTATGAAGAAAGAATCAGCGTTAATCATAGTAGAACAAGACAGGAGCAGAACAGGAAGTTAGGAAGATAGGAGACAAGACTGAATTTAAAAAGAAATGCCAGGCCTAGTGTAAAAAGCTGTCTCTTGGACAACTTCCAGAAAAATATTTGATTCTAGTACTTGCACTCTTTGAAAGTACTAATTATCCTTTCTATAATGACATTCTCTAATACTTTCTTCAAGCTACAGCATTGGGATATTCTATGCATAACTCTGCCACAGTATTTTCCTATATATATACTAATGATACTTTTTGTAATTCTCATTGATAATGATTTTTGCCTCACTCAGATGCTGTTCAGAGGCTTCCGTAGTGGTTCACATGGAAAGGAATACATTTCAGAGCAGAGATGATCTCAACCCTAGCCATGCTCTTTCAGACATCATTTATCATGATGGCAACTGGACTTTAGCTGACCCATTTGGAAAAGCAACTCTTATTAGCAGAGAGAGTATACTTTCTCTGTCACTGAAGTTGGATGACTAGCACATCTCCCGAGAGATTTTGCAGCGCATTTGTGTGTTTTGATTTAGCTATAAAGACTATTTGTTGATTTTTCATTCAGAATGATTTTTCATTCTGCTATGAAGTATGAAAAAACAGTTACAGTATTTATCAATAGCATAGCTCTGGAGATGATAAACAGCTAAGCTGAGCCTGAGAGCCTTCATTATAATAATCAAAAGAGGTGGTAGAAGAAAAAACAATGGAGGAGATGTAAAAAATCCCTCAGAACCAATAGAAAGTAGAGGGCCTTTAAGCCCCTGACAATACTAAAAGATGATATGGAGAAAAGATTGAGAAAGATTTTACTTTTACATTCTACCAACCCTGTATGAGATCATTACTGAAGTCAGACCCCTTCATAATCCAGTAGGGATGGACAATTTAGCATCTAAGTTTATGAATAGCAAATAGCACGCCCTCCACCAGTGTTTGTTGAACAAGTGAGAAAATGCATCCATTGTGGTTTATATTTCTGTTTTTAAGTCTTATCATTTATTAGTATAACATATTATGGCTTAATTATGGAGGGAGCTGACTACTTTATGAAGACAGAAATTTGTCCTTTGTTTTTGCTGATGTTTTTACCTTTCCCAAGCTAAGAATGCAGTTAGGTTTCCCCTTCTGCCCCTTCTCTCCCGTACTTAGCTTTTGTGTTGCAGCAGGAATCAGAAGTTGTCAGGCAAGAGAATAAAATACTGCTGGGGCTGGGGTTGTGGTTCAGTGGTTGAATGTCTGGGAATATGTGAGGCCCTGGGTATAATCCTTAATACAAGAAGGAAAGAAGGAAGGCAGGCAGGCAGGCAGGCAGGCAGGCAGGAAGGAAGGAAGGAAGGAAGGAAGGAAGAAAGGAAGGCCCTTTTAAGGTTTTTGTTTTCAATAATTTGGGCTCAATGAGACTTATGTAGAAATTAAGGGTTATAGAGGCAGGTGCTTGGCATTTAACAGTAGGAGCTATGGGATTCAAGAAGACAGGAAGACCCTGAGACTACAAGATAGGGTGGAGATGGAGGGGTTAGGGCAATGGACTTCCGTGCTGGGCAAACATCCTCGCATCCTGGATTATGCAGTTCCCAGATGCAGAACCCTAGGAGTGTGGTCTTGGGAGCTATGTGACAAATGCCCTCTACCTTTGAAGATTCCATGGGCGTGGACAGTGAACTTATTAGAGACCAGTGTGGGCAGAGGCATAGAGGACTTTTCTTTGACTTCTCCTAGTAAGCACACTCTAGGATCTCATTCAAATGGAAGAATAGATAACTGTTCTAAGGAATGAGATTGATTTTCTTACCAGTTGAATAGTTGGATATTCAAAGGTAAAACTGTTCAGAGTAAATTTTAGTAAGTGCCACTGTAGTAAGCTGCAGTGGGACCCTCTGTGAAAATGCCTGCTTGTGCAATGACCCACCCATAGCATAAAACAACAACAAATCATTCACAGAACATTAGAACCAGATGTGACTTTTATGCCCACCCAGTCTTCATTCTTCATTCTTTCTTTAGGAAGCCAAGGTTGAAGGTATAAAAGAATTTGTTTGAATTTGTTGACCCAAAGCCAGTGAAGAGTTGAGGCAGGGGGATGATTCTCAATCCACTTTTCCTTCTACCTCACCACTTAGAAATGTCTAAAAAGACTGGGGACATAGCTCAAGGTGGTGCATTTACTTGTTTGAGACTTTGGGTTTCAGTCACCAGTACCCACCCCCAAATTAGATATATTCATGGCAATTAAAACACATCATGATTATTTCGTGGCCATGGATGGCCCTCACCAATATAAAAGCTGAGAATTTTAAAATGACATAAAGAAATTCAAACTGTATAAAAATATAACTCTGACAATGGAAGTTAAAACAAAAGAACCATGGATTTTCCAATCACCCCCAACACTGAAATTGTAGGAAATGACCTGAAAGATCTGTATTAGTTTCTGAGAATAAAACATTCCTTCAAAGGCATGTAAAGTATAAACATACATAGGTATGTGTATTAGGTACACACACAGAAGTCTGTTGACTATGAAACCCTGGGTGGGAACAGCTTGAGGGCTATGGATGAGTGTATGGGCATATATGTTAAACCAACTCAAAGCTAAATAAAAGTTTATTAATAATTTCTTATTTGTCTTTTTCTTAAGGATCATATTATCCAAAACCACTTCTGCTCTAATATTTCCCAGGATCTAGTCTAATATATGCCTTTTTCCACTTTCTCATCCTTTGCTCTTTGCAAACAAAAGGCTTCTAGGTTGTCTCTGGACATCTCTGTCAGGGAATACAGCTGTTCTCTGCAGAAGAGTCTCTTTCCAGCCACTCAGGTAGCTTACACCCTTGCTCAGTGTTGAAAAGACCCAAGCAACCTGTCAGTCAAGCTACTGTCTCTGGGTGTCTGTGGGTTCAGATTGTGCTCCAGGTGGTCCAAAAACAAAATGTGGCCAGTAGCAAAAGCTTGCCCTTGAATTCTTTGGATGCTTCATCCTTGGGAGATGCTGGAGCTTGGCCTTGCTTGTCTGCTGTTGTCCAGCCATCAGTTCAGATGTTCCTATAGGACTCTCTCTTCCAGCAGGGCCCATGGCGGACAAGGACATACAGCAGCACCATTAAGATTCCAGACACCAGGCAAAAGGCAACAGCGAGGATGACCCTTAAAACTGTAGGCAAATGGAAAAGACATTAATAAAAGTTAGTGCATGAGGAAAACATGAAGATGATATGTATATGCTGATTTATGCTTAATTATAAATTTCAAAGAAATTTGTGGAACAGCCTTGAAGTCAATGTGGTATAAAGAGCATGGGACCAGAGTCAGGAGATAACTTAGCTTTCAGTTCAGCATGACATTCAGTCCTTGGGCCCCAGTTCCCCTCTTTAAATGAAAGCTAATTGACAGGTATTTTCAAAGTTCTTTCCATGCTAAATTCATATAATTTTCTACAGCTATATTACTAATTTTTTTCTTTGACTATGAAGTTAAAGAAAATTTTGAATATTCAACTTCAATCAACTGAAACTAAAAAATGGAATCTTTCTTTGAATTTGATTTTCAAGTCAATATATTTTGGAGAGAGATAAAGTAGTGAGCTGTGACATGTCTAGCTGTCTGTATGGGTGCTCAAGTGACAGAACTAAGTGGCAGGTGAAGGACATGAGCTGTGGCCCAGGGCTAGAGGAGCTCTCTCACTCACCCACTGTGTCACCCACACACCTAGCTCCTTGAGTGTGTTTAATGAACACATATGACTAGTCTTGTAAAACATTGTGGACCCTTCTGCCAGTAGCCAGTGAGGGCCAGGAGAAGCAACCAGTCATGCCCCTGCACACCCATGGCCATCAGGGAAGCCTCAGTGTAGCCACAAGGGTCTGGAGAAGCCCATCCTGTACCTTACCACCTCCCTGGGAAACTAGGCCTTGAGAAATCAGGCACTTGGCCCATTCTCCTACACCATAGACAGGCAGCCAGTGTGGGAAGTGCCTCAGACCCCACAACTAGCTTGTTGGGAGGAATCCAGGAAAATGTCAAGATGAAGGAGCAAAATGCGATATCAGACCTCTAATCCACATAGAAAAAGCATCAGGCATAGACATAGAAGGAACTGGAAGTCACACACCTGAAATTTCTGAAATGCTAGCAACTGAAGTCAAGAAACAACTTCATGAAGGTATAAAAGAAATCAGATCGGAAATAATATCTCAGGCAAAAGAAGAAATGACAACAAGAATGAAAGAGTTGCTGAATATATATAAAGAAAACATAGATAAAAGAAAAGAGGATCATAGGAAAATGATGGGAACCATGAATGAACAATATATGAAATAATTACAATCCATGAAACAGATTTAAAAAGAAATCTAGGACATTAAAAATTCCCTTGAAGGCTGGCAAATTACTTGAAGATAGAGTTTCAGACCTTGAAGAGAGGATTGCAGCTAGCAATTGTGAAAGGAAAGATCTCTTAAAAATCAAGGAACCAAAAAATAACAATTCAATGGCTGCAAGATGATGCAAAGGAAAATACTTTAAGATTGGTGGTTGTCAACAAAAAAGCAGGAGTCAACACAAATGCCTTAAAAAGACAGAAGTAACAGCAGAAAACTTCCCAAGAATGGGAAAAGGACCTGGCATACAGATAAGTGAGGCGTACAGAACTTTTAACTAGCCACAATCAAAATAAATCTACATCCAGACATATAATAAACAAGATCCCAGAAATTCAGCACAACACAATATTAAAAGCTGTTAGAGAAAAGAAATAGATCACCTATAAAGAAAATCCCATCAGAATAACAACAGACTTCTCAACACATACCATCAAATCAAGAAGAGCTTGGAGTGAAGTGTGTTAAGTCCTGAAAAAAAACTTCCAACCCAGATTTATGTACCCTGAAAAAACTATCTTTCAAAATGATGGAGGAATAAGATACATCCACGACAAAGTACAATGGAAGGAATTCATGACCAACAAGCTAACACTATAAAGAGCACTGAAGGATATTCTAGAAAGAGATAAAGATGACCATGGTTCCAGGCACAGCAGCAGAGGGGAATTGCTGAGTGGGGCAGGCAGTTCATAGTGGAGAAAAGTGGGAACCGATGGCAGAGATGAGCCAGTGCATATTGGTCATAACAATCAGTGTAGATGGCATCAATTCACCAATAAAAATAAACACAGGCAGAATGGATTAAGATACACGATCTATCAATATGTTGTATACAAGAAACACATTTAACTTGAAAGGAAATTCATAGACTGAAAATCAAAGCAGAGAACACAATGCTTCATGCAACAGGGAATAAGAAAAAAGTGGAGGTGGATTGCCCATCATCCATGGAATGGATAAGAATGATATGGTATTTTTATACAATGGAAAGTTATGCAACTGTAAAGAAGGATAATCTCAAGGTTCTTTTAGGTAAATGGCTATAACTTGAGATCATGCTCATTGGTGAAATGGTTTGGGCTCCCAAGGGTGAACATCATGTTGTCTTTGTAGTATAAAAAAACTGAAGGCGTTAGTGGGATCCAAAACGTATAATAGATATTGTGAAAGTGAAAGGGGAGGAAACAGCTAAAAACAACTTGGATAGGGGAAAGGAGAAAAGAAAGAAGGGAAAGATTATATATGCATTCATATTATATATATATATTGGATAGTTATATTGCTAAGCCCAACAAAAAGAATGTTTTGTGCTTTCATTGTTAGATCATTTTTTCATACATATGTCTGGTAATCTGAACAACTACTTTGAAAACAACAATATGCAATACCATAACCATTATTAATCCTCCAATATTGTTTTGAAATTCTGCATCATCATTTTTACTCTTTTTTATTTTAAAATATTGGAGCATTTGTTGAATATGGGAAGCATATTTAGTATAATTGTGTCCTATTGTTAATTTGTCTCTCTCTCCCTCTCTCTTTCTCTCTCTCTCTCTCTGAGAGAGTGTGTGTGTGTGTATCTTTATTGCTTTGAAAATCAGTCATAAGATATATGGAGGTCATTTTAAAATTAGATATTAGTTCATTATTTTATTCAGAAAGTTACTCTTTCCACACACACCCTTGTTCACTGTAATATGTGTATCTTAAATACCCATGTATCTCATATTCTATACATTGTAAAAATATAGGGTTGCTAATTGGGGTAAACAATGGGAAAGCAAGCATTTCTGTGCAAATCCTGCCTCCCCATGGAACACAGATGAAAATCACCAATTAAGCCCAATGTTATCATTGTTGAGAGGAAGGAAATGACAAACAGCAAGACTAGATAATTTGGTTGAGGTAATTTTATCGGATTTGTGGATATGGGATCTTACCAATCTCATGATTTTAAAAAGCATCTACTTACTAATGACTTTTGAAATTAAATTCCAGCTCTGACCTCTCTCTCAAGCTCAAGACTCTTCTATCTAATATGCAGTTAGTATGTAAGAGTCCCCTCTTATCCACAGTTTCTCCTTATTTGTTTTTTTAACTTCTAAACTTTCTATTTTTATTTTTAAAAAATCCCAAGTTTTAAATAAACGTAGCAATATCATTTTCTTCACTTTCCAAATTGCATATTTCCAAGGGCAAGACAAACATATGCTTTGAACAAATAATGATTTTTACAAATTAGAACAAAAAATCACTTACGATATCTTAGGAGGAAAAAGTTTTCAACAGAAGTCATCTTTGTACTCTAGTTGGTGACAGTGTATCTATTTATTTTTCTTAGACCATCTAAATTCCCTAAGAGATGCTTTGGCAGTTTTTAGACATAGAACATTCTCTCCCAAGAGTCACTGAAAATAGTGCTGTCCATGGAGATACCACATGATTTGACAGCTCAGTCTGAATAGATACATTAATGGGTTGGGTCTCCAAATCAGAGGCAAAGGTGCACTCTGCTCTTACACTGAGAGTTTGTTCAACTGCAGCTGCCTGAGGTGGAATATTATCTGCAGTTTTGCTGACATTATTCAAGTTGTTAGTAAGTGTAGCTGTGCCACATTCCTTGTGCTGGATATCAAATTCATCTTCAACTGTAACTACATCTTTAGTTTCAGACAGGTCTAAGGAAGGAGCCAAAAATTCATTTGGTACAGAGTCTTGAGAACCACTATCATCACATTCTATATCTGCCCTTAACTCTGAATTCTTATCACTATCACTATCAATGGCAACAAAACTGGGGAATGTGTCTTATCTCCATGGTGCTTCTTATGCTTCTTCTTGTGTTTTTTTCTTTTTCTTTTTATGATGTTTAGTTGTATCAGTAGCTTTTTCTTCATTAACTATTTCCACACCAAGGCTCCAGATCCTCTTTTTTCTTCTCTTGTGCTTTGTCTGTCTGTCTGATGATCGGCTGTCTGAAAAGCTGTCACTTTTATTTTTGTAGCTTCTATTGAGTTTTGATGAAGATTTTTGGTAATGACTGAAGCAAACTCATGCGATGGTTGAGTTACTTTGTTAGCACCTTCCAAATGCCATGTTTTGTATTTTTGCTTCCCCCTCAGACTTTATTTCTCACTTGATCGGGTCTCCTGACCTCTTACTAAGACAGCTTCTCGATCTGATCTGTGCCTTTCTTTCTTTTTTTTTTTTTTTTGTGTGTGTGTGCTGCTGAGCTAAGTCCCCAGCTGATCTGTACTTTTCATAGCAGTAATATTTCCTTTCGCTGTGATTATTCTTTTTCCTAGCATTTATTCATTCAGGAAAAGACTGAACTCTAAATTTATGACTTGAAAATTATCTAGAAAAATGGGCTCTGGACAGGGTCCTCCTTCTGTAAGATAATTCATAGCCATCCCTATCTTTATTTCTACTATAATAGTAATATTCCCACTTATATCTGCTACCGTAATTATTCCTTAAGTAGTAACAATCTCTGTTTCTGCTCTGTGATTTTCTTTTGCTGTAATCACTGCTCCAAGACCTTGATCTGCCTGTGGTTTCACTTTCAGAGAAAGTGTTTGGCTTCTTCATGACCAAATGCTATCTTTAGTTCTTGATCTCTTTTTATCTCTTCTCTCTGTAGGTCTGCTGTTCTCCCTGCTTCTGGACCATTTGCTTTTCATTCTTTTCTTTCCATGATGCTTTCCATGATTCCTCTGATCATGCCCATATTTACTCTGGGAACTTGAATCTGAACTTCTAGATCTTC